TATAGTCTGGTCTATAGTTTGGTCCATAGTTTGGTCTATAGTCCGATCTATAGTCTGGTCTATAGTTTGGTCCATAGTTTGGTCTATAGTCTGATCTATAATCAATAGTCTGGTCTATAGTATGATGTATGGTGTTGTCTATAGTCTGGTCTATAATCTGTTCTATATTCTGATCTATATCCTGGTCAATGGTCTGGTCGATATAGTGTGGTTTATAGTTTGGTCTATAATCTGGTCTATAGTCTAGTCTTTAGTCTAATCTATAGAGTTGCCTATAGTTTTGTCTACAGTTTGGTTTATAGTTCTGTCTATATTCTGCTCTATCTGCTCTATAGTCTTGTACAGTCAGTGTCTATAGTCTGGTTAGTATCTGGTCTATAATCTAGTCTATAGTCTAGCCGGTAGTCTAATCTATAGTCTGGTCTATAATCTAGTTTCTAGTCTGTAGTCTGATCTATGGTCTGGTCTAAAGACTAATCTATAGACTGGTCTATAGTTGGGTCTGTATTTTGGCCAATAGTTTGATCCGTACAATGGTCTATAGACAGATCTATTGTGTAGTTTAAAGTCTGGTCTATAGTCTGGTCTATATTCTGAACTATGGTCTGGTCTTTAGTATGGCCATTAGTTTAGTATATAGTCTGGGCTATGGTCTGATCTATAGTTTTTTCTATAGTTTGGTCTATAGTCAGGTCTATAGTCTGCTTTATAGTTTGTTCTATAGTCTGATCTATAGTTTGTTCTTTAATCAGTCTGATCTATAGTGTGGGATATAGTTGGGTGTGTAATCTGGTTTGTATTCTTGTCTATAGTCTGTTGTATATTCTCGACTATAATCTGGTCTATAATTTGGTCTTTAGTCTGTTCTATAGTCTAGTCTATAGCATTGTCTATAGTCTGGTCTATAGATAGTTCTATATTCAGGACTATAATCTGGTATATAGTCTGGTCAATAGTTTGGTCTACAGGTTAATCTACAGTCTAGTCTATGTACTGGTCTGTAGTCTGGTGTATAATCTGGTCTATATTATGATCTATAAATTGGTCTTATCTATATTATGTTCTACACTCTGGAATGTAGTCTGGTCTATAGTCTTATATATAGGCTGCTTTGTAGTCTGTTGTATAGTCTGGAATGTATTCTTGTCTATAGTCCGGTATATTGCATTTTTATAGTTTGATCTATAACTTGATGTATAGTCTAATCTATAGTCCCTTTTGAAAACCGCTAAAAATCATAAAATTTCTACTAATTTTATAAAATTTATTTAAATTTCAGCCTATAAATTGTTAAATTTGTAAACAAATCAAAAGATATCTTAAGCAATTTTTTCACATAGTAATAAAACAAATATTTACATTTCCTGATTTACATAAAATCTTAAGGTTTATTGATGTCTTTGTTCCATAAATTTTTAACAAAAGCATAAATATTTCTTTAAAAAAACACACACATAAAGCACGTATTAAAGACATACGAAAAAAAAAACACTCATTATGGCCAGCATTTTATTACTGACAGATCTTGTTAAACATACAGTTTTATTCCCCCTCGCTGTAAAACGAAAAAAAATCTAAATAAAAATAAATCGAACGACAAACATAAAGTCAAATCATCAAATAATTTCAATTGTTTGAAGATTTTTGTTTTGAAGACTGTTTTATTTATAACTGGAGGCTAAAAAATGAAAGTGAAATTTTTAGTTTTTTTCAAACAATATTATTTTAACTTTAGGGGGAAACAAGTAAGAGTTTTAGTTACATAGTTTTTGGTACGTTTGTATTGAAATAATGAGAAAATCAAATCTTCAAGTATTGGCAATAATATACATACATAAGTGTATGTATAATGTCTAATCATGATGCCAATATTTTGTTATTTTAGCCATAATCATAAACTTCATTCATAATAAATTGCTAGAAGAAAGACACCAAAAACTACTCCACTGCCTAATACAAGTAAAAACTCTATTAAACGCCAACTCAATCTATGTAAAATTGTAAATTTCAATTGCTTTGTATCTAGATATTGCGCGAATGAGTATAATTTTTTTTCTTTTCAATTTTATATTTGATAAGTGCTTTCTGAAGAGTTTTTGAAGTTGATTGAAAAGCGCTTATAGTAAAGTGGATTTCTTGTAGTTGTAATAATGTTTAACAATTTGTTGTTTATTAGAAAGAAGACAACATATAATGCATTTGTAAATTTTTCTGTTAGAAAAATTGATGGTGGGAGATGTGTGATATAAGAGTTTTTTTTTATTTCTTTACATCATTTTGTAGATTGAATTATAGTTGTGGTGGAACTAAGTAATCAGTTTGGTAAAAGCATTTTTTTTCGGTTTTTGGTGGAGGATTTTAAAGTATCAAATCAATGAGAAATTAAAGATGAGGTAACAATAGCAAATTTCTTAAACGATTTTTTTAAAAGCCCACACTATAGTTTAGGCTGTGGTCTTAGCTAAAGCCTCTCCTACGCTATAGTCTAGTCTATAGTCTAGTCTATAGTCTAGTCTATAGTCTAGTCTATAGTCTAGTCTATATAGTCTATAGTCTAGTCTATAATCTGGTCTATAGTCTAGTCTATAGTCTAGTCTATAGTCTGGTCTATAGTCTAGTCTATAGTCTAGTCTATAGTCTAGTCTATAGTCTAGTCTAGTCTATAGTCTAGTCTATAGTCTAGTCTATAGTCTAGTCTATAGTCTGGTCTATAGTCTAGTCTATAGTCTAGTCTATAGTCTGGTCTATAGTCTAGTCTATAGTCTAGTCTATAGTCTAGTCTAGTCTATAGTCTAGTCTATAGTCTAGTCTATAGACTAGACTATAGTCTGGTCTATAGACTAGTCTATAGACTAGTCTATAGTCTAGTCTATAGTCTAGTCTATAGTCTAGTCTATAGTCTAGTCTATAGTCTAGTCTATAGTCTAGTCTATAGTCTAGTCTATAGTCTAGTCTATAGTCTAGTCTATAGTCTAGTCTATAGTCTAGTCTATAGTCTAGTCTAGTCTATAGTCTAGTCTATAGTCTAGTCTATAGTCTAGTCTATAGTCTAGTCTATAGTCTAGTCTATAGTCATAGTCTAGTCTATAGTCTAGTCTATAGTCTAGTCTATAGTCTAGTCTATAGTCTAGTCTATAGTCTAGTCTATAGTCTAGTCTATAGCCTAGTCTATAGTCTAGTCTATAGTCTAGTCTATAGCCTAGTTTATAGTCTAGTCTATAGACTAGTCTAGTCTAGTCTATAGACTAGTCTATAGTCTAGTCTATAGTCTAGTCTATAGTCTAGTCTATAGTCTAGTCTAGTCTTTAGTCTAGTCTATAGTCTAGTCTATAGTCTAGTCTATAGTCTAGTCTATAGTCTAGTCTATAGTCTAGTCTATAGTCTAGTCTATAGTCTAGTCTATAGTCTAGTCTATAGTCTAGTCTATAGTCTAGTCTATAGTCTAGTCTATAGTCTAGTCTATAATCTAGTCTATAGTCTAGTCTATAGTCTAGTCTATAGTCTAGTCTATAGTCTCGTCTATAGTCTCGTCTATAGTCTAGTCTATAGTCTAGTCTAGAGTCTAGCCTAGTCTATAACATAGTCTATAGTCAAGCCAAGTCTATAATATAGTCTGGTATATAGTATAATCTATAGTCTACTCTAGTCCATAGTCTAGTTTATAGTCTACATTCTAGCCAAGTCTGTAATGTATTCCATAGTCTCGTATATAGTCTAGCATGTAGGATAGTCCATATTCTAGTTCATAGTCTAGTTTATAGTCTAGTCTATAGTTCAGTATATAGTCTGGTATATAGTTTAATCTATAGTCTAGTCTGGAATATAGCCTGCACAGTTGTCTCTAGTATAGTTCAACAAATTTAAAAATTTTTTATTTTCTTCATTAAACCACAGTTTAACTGACAGTTATTTTAATATTTATTTAAAACTTACCCCTTATTACATTACAAACAGATTTTAAACTAATATTAGTTTCAATGTTAGAGATACATACCTAAAAAAGAAGAAAAAAAAAAGAAAATAAAAATTAATATTTTTATGAAAAAAAAAATTAAAAAAATATTTTGGCACATATTTAGACTTTAATTATAATAATTTACAAGTGGGTAATTATTAAAACAAAATGGTATCAAGGTAAAATTAATAATAAAAAAGATCATATTTAAGTAATTAAAAAAACCCCCAGCAATTTAGTAAAACATTAAAATGGTTAAACTAATACTTGGAGACATAATTTAAAAAGTAAATGACATGTGCCATTTTTAAAAAAACCATTAAGAGTTTTAAAAGCCTACTAACAAACTGTAAAGTAATATATTATAAACTACTACTGGTTTTTTAAGCCCTGGCACCCACAAAATGGATTAAAATTTATAACATTGACTCCGAATAATATATGACAGTTTACTTTTCTAATATGACTTTTAAATGGCCCATTAGCTAAACGGAAATAACCTTGTGTCATTTTCTATAACATCTACATTTTTCTTTATATAGAAACAGAAAAATTTGTTTAACAAATAAATTTAAATTAAATGTTTTATAGTGTTTTTTTTAACACTAAATACTAAATACTTGTATGATTGTTATTGTTAATTTGTATTTTGTTTAAACTGCCATGAAATTGTTTAAACAACATAAATTTGTTTTCTCAACTTTTGTTATTGTTAAATTAGTTAAATAACAAATCACAAATTTTAAGACTCGTGACAAGATTTTGTTGGTAGTAGAAAAATCTGTTAAAAAGTATATAAAATAAACAGCAGGAGAGGTGGCTTAAACAATTAGCATATTATTTATGTATAAGTTACTTATTTTTTTTAAAAACAAATTACACACATGTTAACAAATTGTTTAATAATAAACTAAATAGTTTTTGAGAAAAAAAAAAAAACACCCACATAGTTAGGTGATTAGTATGTGTTTTAAACACAATATTATTTATTATTAACTATCTATTTTTTAGTTATAATTAATGACTCAGTTTTTTTTTGTTTCAGGAAAAACAAATTGATGTTGTAAGTATTATTTTTGTAATAAATAATCTTTAGTAAATCTTTAAGTGACACTAAATATACAGAGAATTATGTAAATTGTATAAGTGATTAATTTATTAAAATTAGTCTGAACTACAGGCTGGTCTATAATCTGGACTGTAGTTTGAACTGTATTCAGCACTATAGTCTATTCTCTGCTTTATAGTAATGTCAATAGTCTGGTATGTAGTCTAATCTATAGTCAGGTCTCCAGACTATAGTCTGGTTTATAGTCTAGTATATGATCCGCTCTTTAGTTTAGTCTCTAGAATGGTCTAACGACTGTTCTATAGATAAGTCTATAATGTGGTCTGTAGCCTTATCTGGTGTATAGTTTATAGTTATAGTATAGTCTGGTGTATAGTTTATAGTTAGTTTAATCCATAGACTAGTCTATTGACAGGTCTATAGCCAGATCTATAGTTTTGTCAATAGTCTGGGATCTTATCTATAGGCTGGACTATAGTATAGTCTGTGGTCTAGTCTGTAGTCTGGTCTATAGTCTGGTCTTTAAAATGTTATAACGACTGATCTATAGAATAGTCTATAGTCTGGGGTATAGTTTGGCCTATAGTTAGGTCTATAGTCAGGTTTATAGTCAGGTCTATAATAATGTCTATAGTCAGATTTATAGTTTTGTCAATAGTCTGCGATCTTGTCTTATATATAGGCTGGTCTATAGCATGGTATATAGACAGATTTATAGCCTAGTCTGGTCTGTATTCAGGCCTAAAGAATGAGCTATATTTTGGTCTATATTCTTTAATCTGGTCTATAGTGCGTTCTATGGTCTATAGTTTGGTTTATAGTCAAGTCTATAATCTGGTCTACATTCTTGTCTATAGTGTGGTGTTTAATCTGATATATAGACTAGTCTATAGACTGATCTGTAGTCTTTTCTGTACTGTGGCCTATATTCTGGTCTATAATCTGGTCTATATTCCGGTCTATAGTCTTGTCCATGGTCTGGTCGACAGATTGGTGTATAGTATGGTCTATAGACTGGTTTATAATCTGATCTATAGTCAGGTTTATAGTCTTTCTTATAGTGTGTTCTATATTCTGGTCTGTAGTCTTGTCTACATATTATTATCTATATTTTGGTCTATACTCGGATATATAGTATTGTCTATAGTCTGGTCTGTTGTCGTTTCTATTGTCTGGTCTATAGTCAAGTCTATGGGTCTGCTCTATAGTCTTGGCTATAGTCTAGATCATATTCTGTCTGTCTATATTCTGGACCGTTATATAGTCTGGTCTATAGTTTGAACTGTATTTTGATCTATAGTATTGTTTATATTCTGATCTGTAGTCTAGGCTATAGTCTTTCTTTTTATCTGATATCTTATTTGGGCTATAATCTGCTCAATCGTTTGGAGAATACCGACTATATTAAGTCCATGACATATTTGGCCTGTAGGCTTTTCAATAGTCTGAACATTTTAAATGTATTTATGTTTAAATCATAACAAATAGTTTAGCATGCAAACTTTTCGCGAATATTCTAAGAACTTTATTCATTATTTTTATTTGATTTAAAATAAATAAGTTTTTGTTAAAAATGTTTAATATTCTTAGAATTTCATTGACTTCAAATGAATCGTTTGACATTTCGAACATTTTCTCTCGTACATTCCTAGAATTAAATCGTATAAAAGAAATGCAAAAGAATTATTTTGAGATTCATATTTTTTCGCGAATATTTCAAGAATTTGTTTTATTAATATTTGAAGTAATAAAATATTTCATTAAATTTAAGTATAAACAAACTATATGAAAATATTTTTCATTTACTTTTAATCAAAAACTATCCAACTTAGGTTTTTTTCGCAAATATTCCGGGAACTTTTTTTTGCTAAATAAAATTTTATAAGGGATCATATTAAGATAATAAAAAGTGTTTAAACAAAATCTTGGTGCACAAATTTTCAAATCATTTCAGTTTATTCATAATCATTATCTTTATTATGAATAAACTGAAATGATTTGAAAATTTGTGCAGCAAGATTTTCATGCATAATTTGTAACAAAAATTCATTTCAACAGAAAAATCTCTTCAAATAAATGACACATCATTCGTCTTAGTCACTAACCGATTGTTTCTCTATCTTTCTCAAAAAAATTTTAAAATTTTTTAATTAAAAAACACCAAAATATAGGGAACATAAAAACATTCACTTTTTTCAATTTTACTCCAATTTCCCAAAACACAGTATAAATTATTTATACTTGCAATTTTGGTTTGTCTCAACTTAAATAATAATAATGTACTTGTAAAAACAACATCATACAATCCAAAAGAAAAAAAGCTTCAACTTTGAAAGTTCAAATTATATCAACTGATGGAGAAAGTAAATCATATGCTGTTATTTTTTTTTTTTTTGCCACAAATAAGCAGCCCGTCCATTTGTCCGTCTGCTAGTTACTTATTTTACTTGCTGTGGCTGTTTTCGCTGTTAAGATTTACTCATTACTTACAGTTTCGGTTGCTGTAAGCCCAAAAAAAAAAACTGAGCTGTAAACAGCATCACCACAGCATTTACCACCGCGAAAGAAGTTAAAACATAAACAACAACTGTTCAGTTAACAAAAAAACTTTCAATGACCATTCAGTCGCTTACTCACTTCAAAATATTATGCCTTTTCTTAGTAAATAAATACTACAAAAATGTATATCTTGAAGTAAGTAAATCTGCAAGTTTTTAGCTGTGTACTTGTTAGTGATTTTCAAAAATTTTTGATTTTTCTCCCCAGTATGCGTGTTGTTTAGCGGTAGGTGGCATTTGTACAATCACGTTTTGCCGGTTGTATCATTCAACTTAAGATTTTTCACTTCTTTTACACAAAACACAGCTTATACACCCAAAATTTTGTTGTTTTTATACCCTACACCACTATAGTGAGGAGGGTATTATACGTTTGTGCTGATGTTTGTAACACACAAAAATATTGGTCGTACACCCACCTTATAGTATACCGATCGATTCAGAATCATTTTTTTAATCGATTAAAACATGTCCGTCCGTCCGTCTGTCCAGCTGGCTGGCTGTCCATGTAAACCTTGTGCGCAAGGTACAGGCCGCAATTTTCAAGATAATTTGATGTAATTTGAACCAAGCATGTTTTTTGGCACAGGGACGAAGCCTATTGAAAATGGTTGAAATCGGTCCATTATTTCACCTAGCCCCCATACAACCGTACCTCCCGATTTGGGCTTTTTATGCCATAATTACGTCAAATATACTATTATCTCTCTAAAAATTGGCACAAATAAGTTTTATATAAGTATAAATGATTTCCGTAATGATCGGCCCTTATTTGACCTTAGCCCCCATACAAACCCCCCTTCAAAAAATGTCTTAAACGTCTAAAATTGACTTGTAACCATTTGTATCGCAATGAAACTCAACAAAACTAACTGTTATTTAAAAATATATCCTTTTCCCAAATTTAATGAGGATCGGCCCATGTTTGACCTATACTCTTATATAAAGCTTCATTGAGAAAATTTGTTTTTTTATCAATAAATTGCTTAAATAGTTTGGAATTAAGGTAAAATTCAACATAAAAGTTTCTTTATGAAAAATAAAAATTTTAAAAATATTCTCATGGTGTAGGGTATTATATGGTCGGAGATGCCCGACTATACTTTCCTACTTGTTTTGGTTTAACTTTGTCTTTGTTGTATTACATTATTAGCAGCTGACACATTGTCTCCCATCTTCATTTCGGTTTGAAGATGTTTTAGAAAAAACCTTTGGTTTTATTAGTTGATTTGGGAAATTTATAAAAATTTCTTTTGCATGATTAGGGTTAAACATGCCATGTTGAGTTTGTTCCATGAGTTTAAAGAGAAAATTGGAAATTTGTTCAAAACTCTCAAAGTTTATTTCTTAAGTCTTTTGTTTAGAAATTGTTCAAGCGAAATTTTATTAAATGTATATACAATTTTTTCGCGAATATTCCAGGAAATCGAGAAACATTCTCCTTTACTTCCTTCTTAGATTTTTGTTTCAAAATAGACACAATAACCATATATTTGTTTCGAATATTCTTAATAATCATTATTTTTAAAGAAATGCAAAATTTTTGAGCCCAAAATTTTTATCGCGAATATTCCAAGAATTTGACTTTTTATTGTTTTTTTTTATCGGTATATTGTTTCCGATATTTAAACACTCCACACATCTTAAATTTGTTTTGAATATTCGTAATAATCATTATTTTTAAAGAAATGCTAAATTTTTAACCCCAAAATTTTTATCGCGAATATTCCAAGAATTTGACTTTTTATTGTTTTTTTTATCCACACATCTTAAATTTGTTTTGAATATTCGTAAAAATCATTATTTTTAAAGAAATGCTAAATTTTTAACCCCAAAATTTTTATCGCGAATATTCCAAGAATTTGACTTTTTCTTTTTTTTTACCGGGATATTGTTTCCGACATTTAAACACTCCATTAAACAAATTATTTGGAATATTTATGCTTCGCTAAAGAAAACATTTGAATAAAAAAAAAAATACAAAGCAACAAAAAATATTAACACCTTTACGATATTTTAAAATATTCACAGATTTAGTCATTCCAACAAATAATAATAAAATTTTTTCGGAAAAAAAATCTACCAAGTGAAATTCCATTAACAATTTCAATACTCCACTGAATCTAAGTTTAATGTTTACAATTTTTTTTCAAATTTCATTTTCTAACCTCTAATAGCAGCACAATAGAGAAAACATTTTAGAAGAAGAAAAAAAATCAACTCAACTCAACAATATTTATGTTTATCTGTTGAAAAGTTATAACAAATATATCTTAATGTTATTATGGTCTTATTGTATACATATAAAGTTGAAAAATTTTACGCCGCCAGTGTTAGAGACGTATAGAAAGACGTTAAAGCAAACTAACAACAGCTCGTGTCTAATCAATTATAAAAAAAAAATTTGGTTCCGCTGTCACCAGTTTCAATGTTATA